TTTTCTCCTTCCTGCAAGATGGGGGGTGGTGTTTTGCCTTTCCTCTTGTTTTTGTTTGTTTTTATTTTCTATTTTTGATATTATTTTCTCTTCCAACCAAACAGAAGGAACGAAGAGTAGATATTTCATGTCGACTCTTGTGGAGATGGAGCACGGCGGTGTAGACGACGGCGATCGTGAGGACGCCGTGAATGAGGCCAGCGTGGATTTGGAGCAGTTGCAACTCATTCAGCTTTGTTTTGGTGAACATGAGTTTGGTGTGGCACTTGACAAAGACGTGACGGATGAGAGAGACGAAAAGCATGATGGCGTTGGATCCGACCTCTTGCAGCAAAGGACCAAAACCCACCAAAACGGCGTCGTCATCGCCTTTGACTTTGATCCCATTCAGTTTGTGCAAGAGAAGTTGGATCACGGCGTGCCGCTCCGTAGTTTGTGCCGTGATCTTGAGGCTTACGCAACGCTACTTGACAGCAGCATTTTGCGACATGTTAACATGGACGTCCATGACGCCTTTGTGAAGGTGTCTGGGCACCTCGTTGGGATGCAGGATGAACTGCGTTGTGTGCGGCAGTCAGTGCTCGCCGCCGTGAAGAGGGTCGAGGATGCGATGGAGAAACTTTCGCGGCTTGAGGAAACGGTGAGTGGCCAAATTCGAGACGCAACCGAAGTGGAGCTGGCACGTCTCTTTGATGTGGTTTTTCTTAAGATCCTTCTGATGTTTGATTTGCTCTGTGGCCGAGTCGAGGCGCTTCCTTCTTGTCTGCGTTGCTCAGAGATAGTCAACAAGCAGCAACCAGCACCACCACCGCCACAGCAGCAGCAGCAGCAGATGAAACACATGGACAGCTCCTCCTCGACAGTTGTGGTGATGGCGGTGGGCAACCCACATGTTTTTGAGGCACTTTTTGATATCGCCGTCACAGTGCAGCAGTGGAAAGCCCTTTATCAGACTCTGCCAAAACTTCCACAACGCGCAAAGGAGTATGAGGAGGCTTCAGAGATTCTTCGAGAGGGCACAAAGTTGTCGCATCAAGTGTTTGCAAAAGTATACATTGCATTCCATCAGGCCTATCTGCAGGCCCCACGAGAGGAGTTAAAGCAGGCATTGCGTGATGTTATGGGATTGTACCGCACCTCTGGGGAGTTTCAGGAGTTTTGCCGGATGTATCGTGAGCGGATTTTGCGACCGCTGCTGGAGTCTGTGCTCTCATGGCGGGCCGCAACACAGGCTCGGTACAATCTGGAGGACACCATCAGCCTGCTCACAACACTGCGGGATCAACTGGAGACAAAAGTATTATGTTTCTTACCGATAATATGGGAAGCTTTTGAGGAAACTGTGCTACCGATCCCAATGATTATATGGCCAACCGTATGCGAGGCACTTGTAAAGAAGATGGTTGCGTTGTACGACATTGGCGTGGCTGACGCTTTTCAGCGGCGTTATGTTGCAGCCCATGAACTGCTTGCTCTCATGATGTCAAACTGCAACTCTTCGGAGGAGTTACGGGTGCTGATGCGGTCGCCGGATGTTGCACTGTGGAAGCATAAGTGGAATACTGATGTGTACGGCACGATACGGGCCAATGAATTATCGAAGAAAATAGAGGACGCCATCCAAACTTTTCGTGCAACGCCAGTTGAAAAATTGGCCCAAAAATTCCTGAACCAGTCCGAAGAACATGTTGCCGGGGGCGCTGGATTTCGCATGGAGCTCTTCACAAAACTAAAGGAGGCGCTGGATTGGCTGTTTTCGCCCGAGACGTACATTTACATCTTGACGCCGAAATTTATTCGTGAGGCGGCCGTTGCAACGCGTCGGGTGGTGCAAAGTTTTCTGGAGCACACAGAAGGAGCTCAAAATGGTACTTTGATGCGGGACTGGCTCCATTTCGTTATGGGAGCCTGCGCCGATCTTGATGTTCTCGTGGCGTACTTTGAAGGACCTTTTTCTGCGCGACTGGAAAAGGAGAGTCGAAAGCCCTTCCCCGTTTCATCCCCTCTTATTCAGCTCCTCACGCAAGATACGTGTCGTGGCGCTGTTGTATCCCTTCAACTTTTGGTGCGGAGTCGTGTGGCGGAAGAATGTGTTGTTGGTCTTCAGAATATTCGCTCTGTGAGATCGGCGTATTCGCACATGCACAAACCCTTTCCTACGGCACCGTCTTGGTACGTTCCCAGTATTGTAGAGCCACTGCAGCGTCTTGATGCGTCAGTGCGTCCATTAATGCCTTTAGAGACCCATCATGTTGTTATGACGGAGTTGGTGAAGGACGTGGCGAGCCGATTTCGTGCGCTGGCCAAGGAAACACTTGTGACGGCGAAGAAGACAGAACAGAGTTGGGAAAAGTTGCGACGCCGAAAAGAAACCACAAGCGGTGCACGTGGCCCGGATGCTGAGGCACCATCGGGGTGCGGGCATCCTTCTTCCTCTTCTGCTGCTGTGCGACCCACACAAGAGACAGCGTCGGACCGTGACAAGATGACGCTTCAGTTGTATCTGGATGCCAAGGCCTTTGTCAATGACGTGGAGAAAACACTGGGACCCGGTGTGAAGGCGGAGGAGCTCGATGCAGTGGATGCACTCTTTAAACTGCTGCGCCGGGCCAACTGGATTATGGGCGAAGACATACCCGAGCCACCAGACATTGATGAATCTGACCCATGAACGCCTTTGGAGCTTTATGCATGCATGATGGACACGATGGATAGGAGATCTTGTTCTCTCCTGTTTGATCTTTTTAAAATCCTCTTTACTTGTTTCCCTTGTGCGTGCCTTGTGGGCGTCTCCAATGATAAGAAGGGCTACCAAAAAACAAAAACAACGAGGGAGAGAATGTTGTCCGTGGTGGAATTGAAGAGCTATGCGTCAGAGGAGGATCGAAAGAATTGTGAAAATTACATTTTTACTTATTTGTTGCACTATTCGCTTTGATTTTGCGGTTGCCGATTATTTAAGATTTTGTTTGTTTGCTCCTCTTCTGTGCTTGCGCGCCTGTTTTCCTTGCTTTTCTTGTTGCACGCAGGGCGGAGTAGAAGGAAAAGCTGTTGAATGGCATACCGTGTGCTAGGCTCGCCGTATGCATTGGTGCTCCACCAGCATGTGGCGTACTTGCGCTTGCGTCGTCAGCCCTTCAAGGTCTACTGTCGGACGTTGACCACAACTTTGTTTTATGCTCTGTTATTCCGCGCCCGTAATGCCTTTTGCACGGTCACGCCTGATGGCAAGTCGCACCTGCAGATGTGGCAGCTGGTAGATGCGGTGGAGCGGTCTGGTATACAAAGCGTGGAAGATCCGTTTCTCGTAAAGAAACGTACGCATCCAAATATTCATCTGGCAACGTGGAGTATTTTTGTGTACGCGTCGTGGTGGCTAGCAAAGACAGGGGCGATGTATCGTTGGGTCGATGGTGAAAGCATTGAGGTTGTGGAGGGGTATTTTCGCTATTTCCTCCTTATTCCGGGCATTGGTGTGCCGCGAGCCATAGTGAGACAGTTCCGACAGGCGATGCAGAGACTGACTTCTGTCACGGGGGTGTCAAAAGAGACCGCGCCGTACATGCATGAACATTTCCAGCGTCTCTGTGGCGCTCTGGAGGAGCATTTCCAGCAGCATTCAGAAACGATGTTTCTTCTTGGGACGCCACACCCCACGTTGGCGGACGTTTCCATGGGAGCAGCGTTTTCCGCCAACTTCTTGATGGATGACCCGCCCGCATCCTTCGTCGTGCAGAAGTTCCCCCATCTAAACCGCTACCTGGAGCGAGTGACAGGGTGGCGTGGGGGCTTATTTGTTGGGGCGGAGAACACAGAAGAAATGAATGAGTGGGTAAGCAAAGCATCAGACGGCTACGCAGACGTAATCCCCGAGTCACTGTCGGCTTTTTTTCAACTAATTGAAGAGGTGATGCCCTTTATGCTGTCGCAGTGCGCGGCATTTCATGCCTTCATGGCGGGTGACGGGGTGCGGCAGCTAAAAAGGGAGCCATTGGAGGGGCCGTGGAAGGGATGCAGCGGATATCTTGTTCCACAGGTCACGGACATTAAATCCCTCATGATTATTGACAATGGCGTGTACACCGTGAGGGCGCGTGCACAAGACCTTGAGGTGGCGTTGTTGGCTGCCCGGGAGGTGGTAGATGATGATTTTAACACTGATGATGAAGGGTTGAGTGAAGTTGCGGAAGCGAGTACACAGAAGATGACTTCTGCAAGCCCCACTTTGACACATGAAACATTGCGGCCAGAATCGGGATCGAAAACACGTGCGGTTGTGTCGTCAGACACATCGGTCGACACCAACGTTGCCGCGGAAATGGATGCGGGTGACTCGCTAGCGGAGGATGCAGATTTTCACCGCGTCTTCACCAAATCCAATTATCGTCAACGTGGTGTCCTTTCAATGAGACGAGGCACGAGTAACTTAAGTTCCATCGCTGTGGATTCCCGCCTCGATGCACTTCGAACAATGTTGTACAAGATGCATCATCCACACTACACACTCTCCAGCGTCTTTCATGGTCGAAAGATGTTTGTGGCTATCATACCTGAATACGAAGTGGATCGAAAGCGGAAAGAAACAAAAGGTGGCGTCGTGTAGTGGGGTGGGGTCTTCTACCTGACTCTATTTATTTTATTTTATTTTTTTTGTTAGTTGTGTGTGTGCGTCTCTGTGTAGATGCATGCATGTTAACTTCCCTGTTTTCCTTTTTTTATTTTTTTTTCTTGCACTTCTTTAAGGTCGAAAACACGGCAGCAAAATATTTTGGTTTGGACATTTGTGTGGTATCGGCTACAAGTGGAGGAGATTGGTTTGCGACGGAAGGGAAGGAGAAAAGGAGGAAAACCCGTCGGTTAGGAACGGGTCCCCTTCTTTTTTTTTTTTTTTTCTTTTTTTTTTTTTTGCGACGTCGTCTTGCCGCAACGCTGCTTTGCCCATCTATTGCGTGGAGGCCGTGTGAGACTACCCGCAAAACGTTGCTCGAGAAGGGGAAATAATGTTGGAAGCCAGCCGTGTTCGTCTGCTCAATAGGCAGACGCAGAAATACATGACAAAACTGCGCTACCGCTTTCGCCGACCACAGGTGTTGCCACTTCGTCAGACAGCCGAGCAGCGGCGCAACACGATTCTGAGATTTTGCGAAAACGTCGGATATCCTCGGGGGATCACTC